ACTCAATATATTTATAATGAATTTACTTTTCAATAATTCACGATTGTGGACATTGAAAAAAATATCCAATTTTGTAAAATCATCATGTCATTGTTTAAAAATCTATCAAATAATTCTTTCTTTATTAAATTGCACATATAATGTTTCCCCGGTGCATATGTGTATATATGCATGTATGCTCGGCATAGCGGCCTGGGTGTAAGTAAAAATTCAGTTCAGTTCAAATGGGCAAGGGCAATAATTTTAAGAAATCACGTTCGTGACTTTATTAATACAAATTAAAGAGCACTTCGGCGAAGGAAGGCAGTTAAACAGACCGAGAGCTTCTGCAAAATGATAATGCTCTGAAAAATAACGTTACCGTTATTTCAGCTAAAATGGATGGAGTGAGTGAGTGAGTGAGTGAGTTGGGTTTAACGCCGCTTTTAACAGCATTCCAGTTATATCACGGCGTGTCAGCTTAATGTGGGGGGAAAGCCCGAAGTGATGCAGGTCTCAGACGTTTACCACTTCGATGAAACCCACGAGCACGGGCATGGTGCTGACAAACCTAGAAACATAATCGGGGCGAACCGGGATTCGAACCCACAATCATAGGTTTCTGGCGTGCCCAAGGGACGCAACTCTGCACAGCGAATTGCGGCGCCTTCGCCACCCGTGCCCCCTAAAATTGATGGAATTTGTAGCTAATCCCAAAAGAGCAAAACAACAAAGAGCAGCATATATACGTTTAGTTGCTACATGAAAAACCTCACAATGGAGGTCACTGATTTACAAAGAGCAACGTCATAGAACATAATATAGGATGACGTCACAAAAATAAAACGCCGGTGACGCCAATGTAATAGAATAGATTGTACCGAGTGTCAAGTTTTCATTTTGACATGAGTGAGTGAGTGAGTTGGGTTTAACGCCGCTTTTAACACTATACCAGTTATATCACGGCGTGTCAGCTTAATGTGGGAGGAAAGCCCGAAGTGATGCAGGTCTCAGACGTTTACCACTTCGGTGAAACCAACGAGCACGGGTATGGTGCTGACAAACCTAGAAACATAATCGGGGCGAACCGGGATTCGAACACACAATCATAGGTTTCTGGCGTGCACAAGGGACACGACTCTGCACAGCGAGTCGCGGTGCCTTAGACGACTGGGCCACCCGTGCCCCCTTTGACATGACATGTGCAATAAAGATACAAGATAGTGTAAACCTTTCAGATAATAAAAGCTGACTCCTCGCCCAGTATTTTTTCTGCTAGCCTGATATGAGGCCGTTTACGACAAGTAAAGACACACTAACTAATAACATTACAGTAAACTACGGTTATAACGAACTCAAAGGGACCGATAATTCTAGTTCGTAATAACCGTAGTTCGTTATAAGCATATGTACAACATAATTACAACAAATGGCCGGACTAAAAAATAAGTTCGTTATATCGGTATGTTCGTTATAGGCGTGTTCGTTATAAACGTAGTTTACTGTACTTTGTATCAAACGGTTCATTCTCTATTGTGTGTATATTTATTAAACTAGTTATTAACTATAGATGATTTGGGAAAATAACAGATATTTTTATGCGTGCGTGCCTGCTTGCCTGCGTGTTATAAGAAATAAGACTTTTGTAACAAATAATATATTTTTTCAAACGTTGTGTGAAACTTAAAAATGTCATTTAGAACATACAACATTTGTCTTCAAATACTGCTTCCTTATAATGTTGATTATAGTTGCGAATACATTATGGCACGATCACTATATTATGGGAAATCAATAACAAGGCATTAACATTAAATATTTAATATATTATAAAGTGTAACATGCAATCGGATATCGTCATTAATATTTACATAATGGCACATCATTCGTTGGTCAAAATTAATGAGTTTATCTGTGTTGGTGGATGTGGGTGGCGTCTACACGAGGATCTCACGCTACCTTTTCGAAACTTGACTAGGCTGAGTTAATTAAACACGCAAACACAAATAATCAGTGCCTGCACCCCACATGATCGCCACCCAATTGCTTACATCTTTGCGCCAATACAACGTAAGGATTTACCTAGGATGTTTTTTAGCTTAATTCCTTAAAAGAAGTGAGATTAACATGCAGCTAACAATACAGGGTAGGTAACTATAGTGTTTGTAAAGGGGTGTGTAATGGATAAGTGGTGCACAACCATATGGATAGTGCAGGGGTGTTTGACCGACAAGAACGGCCTTAACCCTAATAGTCATTAAGGCGTGCTTGATCGGAAAGGAGTCCACACTGGTCCAACGGCTCAGGGTGGAGTTGGGGTAAGCTACTTTAAACATAAAAGAGGCACCCGAGGTAAGTGAAATGAGGGCCACAGACAGCTGTGCCCGGTCAACTACATGTACAGTTTCCTTAGAGGAGAACAAAGGGAAAATAGTAACGGACAACAAATCGTATTTTCATACAGGCCCCGAGCTTAAGCCTTTTCATGTCACGGCACGGGCACAATTCTTGACCTCGCCAGCGCCTCGAAGTGTTTAGACGCCGTGGCCGAGACCATGGTGACCACGGCCATAACACAATCATGTTATCTATTCAACATTCCCCGGCAATAAAACACGACGACATATAAGGGACTAGACCAAGATTAGTCCAACGCTTAGTTTCTGAAAATATATAATTTTGATAGAAACAAGCAGCTGCATTTAACTCTTTTAAGAAGTTGGTGTGTTAAGTTGTATATCCATATAACTATCTCCCTTGTTTAACTACATTTAACGCCCTTAAGAAGTTGGTGTGTTAAGTTGTATATCCATATAACTCTCCTTTTTAACTGATATAAGCGACGGTCCTGTCTCTCCTGGTCTGGTTCCTTGATCAATGCGCGCTGCGACAATTTGTGACATGTAGAGACGGAGTCAAGCTAAAACGTTTTTAGAAAAATGCCAAATGAAAATCTACCATGCATCTAACAAGCAATCAGTTACTCAGCTGCAACATACATACCTGACATCATACTTTGAAATTAGAGATTTACCCACACTATTCTGCCCTTTATAACATGTTGATTGAGTCATCACAGCTGTTAATTCATTTCTTACCGAATTCTGATATTCATGCCATTAAAATAGTAGAAAATTACAGAAATTTGTTCCAAACAAACAACCAAACATACTGCCTATCCCACAAAGTGTGTATTACACATAAATAGATGTAAGTGATAGTTGTATCTTCTTGTTTCAGTAACATAATATTTATTATGTTGACAAGTTATTTCCCTTACAACCCATACACTATCCTGCTGCAGCGATGTATCCTGATTATCATTCAACAGTACTTCAAGACACCTGTTGTATTGAGTCTACTTATTAAAAGAAAATTATATAATATAGCAAATATGATTTAAGTTTATTATCAAGTATTCTGGTCAAGACATAAATGCAAACTGAACACCACAATCATTTCATGTAGATACAATTGTCATGTATGTCTAAATACATTTATTTATGTTATTTGTTTTTACATATTTTACATATATTTTACATATAACATATTTTATTTAGTTCTGTTATGACGTCTATGATCAGGTTATATGTATGTTGACTGAAAATTTAAGTAAATATGTACATTGACTGAAAAATGAGACTGGGTTTTACACAGATTGACTGAAATGAATTATTAGACTCCTATGTGTAATCTCCTCATTTTAATTTGGATCAACTTTAATCTTACGAAGATCAAGGTTACTTCTGAAAGGTATTAACAATGTTTCCACAATGTTTTTCAAACATAAATAAATACTTGAGTCTTTTTTTATGTTACTTATCTTTTTTTGACATAAAATGCAGTTCAGAAACAGATAATGACTGATGAAAAGTCATTCATATGTAATCTGATACTGGTACACGTGCACAGGTATGCGATGCAGATATCTGTTGGTGTATAGAGACAAAAGAATAACATTAATAATTTGTTGGTGTTGGAATCTGAAACATCAGTTTAGAATAAGTAAACATTAAAAGCAAGAACTAATTACAATCAGCTGATGCTTGTCAAGGCAAACTGGATGTAGACACTGCAATGTTAATACAATCACCATTATAGAAATTGAAAATTAATATGAATATATTATTTTTAATTTATAAGATGAGAAAAGTGTGGTTGGTATAAGTACCTTTGAATATGTATTTAACACTATATATTAATAGGGTCTGTGTCTGAAATTATTATTTGTTTAATTTAAACTTAGAATAGGACATACTAATATATATTATTTATTTATCATATTGAAATATAATCATGGTAGTATTTGGCAAAGAACAGCCACCATTCATCCATAAAATGTTTGTATACATCATGCACCAATTTCTTAAATATCAAAATTGATTTCATTGATTAATTTTCCATTTCCATTTCCATTCCATAGTTGAAGACATACTTTGCCAGTGCCTGTGTCTTTTACAATTTCTTGAAAACATTTCTCATTTCTCTCAGTGATTTACGTGATTAATACGTACATGCGTTGCTGTCAAAATTCACAACATTTACTAGCGAACTTTACGTTGCATAAGACCTTCACATTTCGCGTATATCATCGCCTAGCCGCTGTACTGACATGCATGCATATGATGTAGCATGGTCGGCGATGCCACGACATAGCGGTACGTATACAAAGGAAATCTTCTTCATTTTTAATAGTGTGATATTCAAACATCAAGGGCATCACTTTCAGTAGAACCACGTCAATGACCTGGAATAAACGATCAGCTGATCTCATCCCCTCGCTTTGAAAGACTTACACAATCTATATAGTCGTGGTCATCCCTGATGTATCACTGAATCGATGAACACCTATTTCCGGACATGACAATAAATAGATCACTGTTTAGGCGAAAAGATAATACTGTCCATACTGTCAGTTTAAGGTCAGGTGTGTCATCAAATGCGTTTACATTATCGGCCCCTGTCATATTCAGTCAACCATGTAAGGTTTAGAATATCGACAAATTTAGAACATCAATAAACCCCACAGCGCAAGTGGCTCATTACTACAAACTCGTGTGTTACCACTTCGCCTGCTCCTCGAAGTACGGTCAGAGATCATGGTGACCGCAACACTGACACGCCGATCAGGACACTACCCCTGTTTCCTGTATCCATAGGATAATCTATAAGCCAGGTCAAACAGAGCTATGCAAAAACCTAAGCTACGGTCGCTATGGAATACACTATGAACGTGTCTTGACGTCGTCTACCCCATTGAAAAAAATGAATGCTTACTTCACCGCGAGCCGTGAGTCGGGACGCTGTGAACTAAGCCACCAGGACAGAACGACTGCTGTCTCGTGGTTTAAGGGTGCAATTCTCAACAGGCCAGGGTGGCTGGGAGCCATATCCCAGAATGCGGAGAGTTTGTTGGAAATTTCCGTGTATGTTTGGAGCGTGCTTGTTCTGTGTAATACTTTATGATCGCAGTGAAGTGTTTCCAACAGAAGAGTATTTTATTCCACGTAAGGAAATACTTAACCGACTGAACTATGACGTGTTGCTCTCGCCCGCACACAACTCGTGCTCTCTGGCCGTTGACTTGCTTGTGTTTGTGCTGTCTGTCGTTAAAGACAGGGAGAAAAGAAGCAGCATCCGCAACACATGGGGCCGAGTTGACAACACGTGGCCTTTGGTCAATTTCGGACGTTCTGTGAAGGTAGTATTTCTGTTCGGAGTTGCTCCAACACCCGAGGAAAACCTAGAGCTAAAATCCGAGTCTCGAATGCACAATGATGTCCTTCAGATAAACGTGACGGAATCCTATTTCATACCAACACTGAAGATCATGATGGCTTTTAAATGGATGAAAGAGAGATGCTCCAAAGTGAGGTATGTCATGAAGACGGATGACGATGTGTTTGTAAATTTGCCGTTCATGATGGAGCGAGTTGAAAGCATAAATGGACGTTTTATTCTCGGTGATAGACTTCCACGTGCACTCTGTCACAGATCTGGAAAACACACCGTGTCTCCTAAAGAGTACCCGTTTGTGTTCTACCCGGCATATTTGATTGGATACGCTTACATCATGCCTGCTGAAGTGACTTTGGCGATGCTAAATGCCTTCTACCGTATGCCCTTTCTAAAAATCGAGGACGTGTACATTGGGGGGATACTGCCCCGAGCGACGAGAACCTCAGTGCTGCAGATTCATCCCTCTTGGTACGAAAATGGTCAAAAGGTAGACATTTGTGATTTCTCACAGAACAAACTGATAGCTGGTGCCAATATTGATAATAACACTATTTTTAGAATTTGGCAAACCTTTAAAGAGCCATGGCGTTGTAGAAAATAATTTGATTTTACAAGCAATGATTCTGAGGATCTAGTCACTCTCGGCGGACCAAGTGGTTACAATAACGTTCATTGGTTGTGCCGCAATATCACAATATCGTAATTAAGGCAGTACCTATATTTCATGTGTAACTTATTTTGCGTGAATTCGTTTGGCTAATATATTCTAATAAATTGTCACTGTAACTGCGAACGTTGTAACCACTAGCTTTACCATCACGTATAACTGTGTGAATGTTTTAGTAATATTGAAAACTGACGTCCATATTAAAGCCTCCGTCCACATTATGTATGTATGACGTATAGACAGTTATGAAAGAATTGTGATTCGATTACCTAGTGTGTCATGTCTCTATTGATTTTTTTATATGGCGGAATAATGTATTGTTAAACCATGTTATTCTGGATAAAGATTTAAACGGAATTATGTGTGTGCCTGCTTTACTTATACTAGTTTAACAGGAATACCCCACTCTGCATCGTCAATTGACAGCAACTTCACAAAGTCAACGGTTCAATGTTTACCAATCATCAGTTTAACTGGTCACTATTCCTGGTGATACGATGGTATCCTACCATTAGTTACACGTCCCGTTTGTCACACACCTTAAAATGCTTGCCGTAATAGGTGACTATGCTCGTCGTAAAAGCCGACTAACTGGATAGGGTGATCAGGCTCGCTGACTTGGTTTGATGCATGTCATCGATCCCAATTGCGTGGATCGATGCTCACGATATCAATCACTGGATTGTCTGGTCCAGACTCCATTATTTACAGACCGCCGTCATATAGCTGGAATATTGCTGAGTGCGGCGTTAAACAACAAACCAACAACAACAACATTACACACCTTAAAACAACATAGGTAATGGCTGAAGGCACGGACTGGTCTAACCTTAGAATGGAGTGATGCAAGAAAAGTAGTAAAGCAGTCTTGTACTTTAGGTACTTCTATAAAGATACTGTAGAAAAGTAAACTTGTATTTTCTTTGTGTATATCATTTGATATAAATATAATATTGACTGCTCTCTTCTTAGGGTTTCTACTTGTAGTGCTTCTAGTGAAGTGCCTGTTGCTGCACCTGTGGCCAGCATTAGGGCTTTGTATTGTATTCTGTCCAGATGACTCAAGACAGTATTTGAGTGGACGGCCTCACAACCATGGTCTATTTTTGATCTGATAAGTGATTTGTAGCAGTCCAGCTGAGTGTCTCTCGATGTACCCCAAGATGTGCCTGAAATTGCCCGTAATACGTGCATTTTTTTTTACATCTTTTTTCCACATATTCTGTATGTTTGCGTCAAGTGAGGTGTTGATCAAGGATCACCTTTGGAATTATTAAGGATTTTTTCGAATTTGATTGGTTTGCCTTGTATGGCTATGCGGCTGAAACAAACCCTGTATACCAAGGTAACATACTTTAAAAAAATGATTAAACCTGGAGGTCAGACCTGACTCTAGTAGAATATAATAAATACATTAACAACTAATTCACCAAAGACAGATTAACCATTCATTCAACACAGATTAGTTGCCTTTTAGTCATATCATAACATTTCACAATAACATTTGTGCTAAAACCCCAGCTTAGAAATCAGTATGTATTTTGGTCTCTGTGGTAATCTTATGTTCTCCAGTTAGGACTGGTCCATTACTTTGTAGGTGAGGACTGGTCCATTACTTAGTAAGTGTTTTCTTAATTAATCCCCTCCTGGCCGCCTCCCAGGCTGTGTAACAACTGGGAATATAGAAGTGTGTGACAAATGGGGCGTGTACATGTAACTAATGGGTGATAACCGATACAATACATGCATTAAACCAAGTCAGCGAGCCTGAACACCCGATCCCGTTAGTCGCCTTTTATGGCCGGCATGGGTTGCTCTGACCTACTGCCAAACGCTTTAACAAATGAAGACAAATTGATTATGGTAATTTAAATTACAAGCGTAAATGTAATCTCAATAAAAATAGGTCTAAATATTAGGAAGTTAAAGAATTCATATACAATACTCAAACAGCATGGAAATAAAAACTGGAATGAGCACGCAGCGGTGTTTACTGCGCTGAGCACATTGTTGAACACATTGGCGAAAACTTTGGGAAGAGATTGACGAGTGTTTGCCTGGCTTTGTTATCAGCTGTGCCGCTATCTCAAGAGTGCTAGGGAGCGGTCCGTACTGGCAGGGGTATCGGGGGGTGGGGGGGGAGCGTGGAGTCTCACAAATATGTGTACCGATAGCGAGTATTTACGGGAAAGTCAATATTTACCAAATATGAGCGTAAGATTGACGTTATTTAAGTTGGATCATTGGCAAATAGTGCCAATAGCAACTTTCATGTTTTAGCACAGTGTACGCCTATAAGTCGGTCGTAGCTTGGAGTACTGTACTGGTTGTGGTGGCTTAACTAATGGTAGGATAATGTTGGGGCATGGTGAAATGCGGTTTGGCGTCGGGTTCAAGATTGTTGCACTCACATAGCGACGTTAAGTACGTGTGTGTGTGTGTGTGTGTGTGTGTGTGTGTGTGTGTGTGTGTGTGTGTGTGTGTGTTTGTGTGTGTGTGTGTGTGTGTGCTTGTGTGTGTGTGTGTGTGTGTGTGACTGCTTATACTACTCCGACCAGTTCTTGTTTTTGCCCCTTAAAGCCGAGCACCAGGCAGGGTAACAACACGCACCATCTTTTAAAGTCTTTTGGTATGATGCGGTCGGGGATCGAACCCAAGACCCCTGTTTTCCGGTGCAGACGTTCTGTCCACGAGCAAACATATATATCTTCTTAAATCCCTAATATTGATATTTGTAACCTAATATTCAACAGCCAGCAATGACTCTGATAATGTTTTGTTTTCCACAGCCTCTAATATGTGCCTGAAAATTTAAAGAAAATGTGAAATATCTCAAATGCTTTGATAAACACATGCATAATCCAAAACCATGCCTATATAACATCTATAACAACAATATAACACAAGATGCCCATGTCTTCCATCTAAATGTAAATTCTATATTTATCCATATTTACCTGTAAGCCTTATGATTTACAACATTTACTTAAAATGTCAATCTTTCTTGGCAAGCTAATAACACTGTCATCAAAAATACAAATCTCAACAGCATTCAATAATAACAGTAGTTCAAAATATTCTACACTTATAAATACATCTCTTACATATGCATCTTCTATTACGGAATAAAATTCTAAATAAAACATGTGCAAATGAAAACGGGTTGATAGCACAACCTTGTCTGACTCCACTTAAACATCAAAATAATCAGGAATGGTGGCTTGGATGTTTTTACAGCTGCTATTATTTTTAACACATATTTCTCAGTACAGAAAATAATTTAGCATGTACATTTTATTCATTACTTAATACCATAGTAATTTCCTATCAACAGAATAAAAAGCTTTTCTTAAAGTCTACATAAATCCAGTAAAAACGTTCACAACTTTTGGAAAAAAATACTTTTGAGATAGGGATAGGGTAGGGTAATGGTGGCGATGGAAGTAGGGTAATAGTGGTGGGTGGAGTAAGGAAATAGTGGTGGGTGGAGCAAGGAAACAGTGCGGTGTGGTAAGGGTAGTATTGAGGGGAGGAGGGGAGGGGGGTTGGGATAATGGTGTGGGTGGGATTGTGGTGACGGTAGAGTTAGGCGGCGCAGCGTAATGGTGTGTATATATGTGTGGGGGGTGGGGGTGGGGGGTAGGTTAACGGTGACGTAGGCGTTGCCCGAAGTGAAACTGGTTTTAGACATTTACCATTTCGATGAATCCACGAGCATGGGTATGGCGCTGACAAACCTAGAAACATAATCATGTCGAACCGGGATTCAAACCAAACGAGCCCCCTATAAATATATGATAATCTACAGTTATTCAATACCTAACTAACTATGGGTAATTATCGACATCAGGGTTATCGATACTTATATAAGTTTTTGGGAATGTTAATGCAAACATATTATTCGTTTGTAAATATTAAATCTTCATAGATTTCTTACCAAATCTCCGTGCAGCATCCATTTTGGGAGTTGAATTTTAAAATACATAAATTTGGCTAACATTATTGAAAAATGTTGATTGTTTCAACTTCAAGAAAAAACTCTGTATACAAAAGCACAATAGAATATTTTCTTTGAGAGCTTCAAGATTGTCTCAAGGTAAACAAATAATATGAATACATGACAAATTTTAGGGAAAGCAATTTTTTGTCACGACGTTTCAGAGGAGCTTCTTGCGCCTTCATCAGTTGATTGTTGATGAAGGCGCAAGATGTAGCTCTGAAACGACGTGACAAAGAAAGAAAGAAGTTGCTTTCCCTAAAAGTACAAAGTATCGTGTATTCATGTTCATCCAATGCCTATCAAAGAATTTATAAAACAATACTTTAAAAATATATTATATTTTGGCTTGAAAAGCATCCTGTTATCCCGCTTAAACAGCTTGTGCCGAACTTAAAATGTTACCTGATTTAACGAAGTGTGTTACCTTTTGTTGAATACAAGTGCGAATAGCTATCACAAATAGGCTACGATAGTTATTGATCTGTTTTAGTCAGGGTCTAGAGGTTACCTTTTCCTTTATTGATCGATTCCATTATTCATGTTGGGAACAGTTGGGTAAAATCGTTATGAAAAGAATGAAGAGTGGATTTAGTATTTCAATAGAATTGATCAGATCAGACTTCTGTTGTGAAGCCTTCCATTAACCCTTTTATTGCGAAGACATTCTCATCACTTGATCTTTCCGAATGACGGTGGTAAAGAAAACTGAGTCGCTCAAGGGAGTTGACAGCTCAAAAGCTCACGGATGTTGCATAAATTGGGCGGTAAAAGTTTGTTTAGGTATCCCCTGAGACAACCTTCTATGCAGGTGTGCTCAGATCTTAACACAGGGAGATATTCGTTAGGAGCAAAAATTTGGTTTTAATAGGATTTGGTAGGTTGGTGGTGGAGGCATACGGCTGAATAAAGAAGTGTTTCTTGGGCACATTTTTCTAAAAAATGAGGTCGGATTCCTTATAATTTGCTGTTGAAAATAAAAATGATGAGAGAAGGTCACATTTTGTTTGTTTCTAACACAACTGGACACACGGTGAACTCGGCTCCATAGTACCATTTCGGTTGCCAAGTACAGTTAACAGTGTCTATTTCCCAGACGCAGGTTTATATGGATTTTTAATTGGTCATCTTAATGACGGACGCACCGATGCCCGAGACTAATGAGATCGGGTATAATACAGCGTCCGAGATATGCTTCCGATGTTCAAGTTCGGTAAGCTGGCCTGTAAAGATAGATGGACATTGTCTTGGTTCATGTCCAATATGAACCTACTTATACTGACCCGAGTTCCCCGTCGTGATATTTTTTGCTGTAGACAGGATATCTTTTGGTCACTGCTTCAAAACACGAAATTTTCAT